CGATTTTACGAACGTTGTTTTTATTGTGTTATAGGTAATGGCAGGTAGATCAAAATCAATAATATAGAAATAGGAATCGGATCTCCAGAATTAGGATCTAATTCTATACAGAATGGTATAACGACAATCAAGATCAGCAATTAAGCGACGACCATGAGAAAATAAATTATTGAATCAGGTATCGCGCATTAAAAGTTAGACTAACAATCTCATGCGACACAAAATACAGGAGCAGGTGTTACTTCGAATGCGAAGTTTCAATATGCATTCACACCTTTACTTCGCCATAAACATATACCAATAAGATGCAAGATTTTGCGTACGAACGCCATTTAACTTGCCATATAACCATACACTACGTGAAATTTTCAATATCACTGTGTTCCTGGTATTTTGTCAATCATTTTTCAATTTGAAATAACATGTGAAAAATATGGTGGAAATAGCAAATTTCATGGTTGAAACAGGAGTTCCCTAAATAAAACATAATAATTATATTATTATTTTTATTATTAATATTAATATTAAATATATAATTTCTGTAACATTAGTATTACTGTATTACGAATAATAACATTGGTCATTGGTTCAGGACACTCAACATGAAACCTGTCATTGCCGAAAACAAATTGCGAACACCAATTCATGTTATTGCAGAAAAAGGAATTCATTATGCGAATATGTTCTACGCGAGAAATGCAAAAATTTTAATTACATAGTTAAATTATATATGAATATTTAATGTATTTGTTTAATGTATGAAAATTTAGCTAGTAATTAACGTTAGGCGAGCATTATAATCATTTTACTCGCTTTTTATTTTTTATTTCTTAAATTTATTTTATTTTAATTTAATGTATGAAAATTTAGCTAGCAATTAAAGTTAAGAGGGCATATAATATTTTATTTTTATTCGCTTTTATTTCTTAACCTTATTTTATTTTAATCAATGTTTATTTTTTTTCAATCTTTTTTTCGCTTTTTTTTTTAATCGGTAAATGGATACTGATTCTAAACGACCTACTTCATTTACGATTCACGAATACGCGCCAATGCCAGATCGATCTAAATTCCGTAACGACCCGGAACACATACAGCGTTGCATATCAGATATAGTGATAGTAACCATGATATAAATTAAGATTGACATAATTAATATAAAAAAATTTAATTAACTTAATTGTTAGAATAATAAATCTTTGAATTTGAATATATCAAGCTTATTTCATTAATATGACTAAAGAATCATCTTTAATATATCATTCTGCTCAGATAGTCAATTGCAAGTTAATGTGTCAACAAATAACAGTATTTTAAAAAATCATAATTGGCTTGAAATGAACGATAAATTTAATTTATAGATATTATACAGTATTAATTATAGTTCAATGCTGTATATTAAAATACATAGCATAGCAATAGCATTATTATAATTATCTATTTTGTATATGCTTAGTGTATACGTATATATTTATTCTGTTACTATTTCATATAATTTATATTTCAGCGAATATAATTCTAAAATTGTTTCTTGTATTTTGCAATAATTTCAATACTTAAATCTGCAAAAACGAAATTTATTTTAAAATCGGATTTAAATGACTAAATTAATTTAATTAACTTCACTAGGTGGAATGAGATGGTATCTGCGAGAGTTGATCTTTATATTAACCGAGAATAAGTTATTTATTAGTGATAATTTAATAATTCTCAATCGAGCGATCGATTAAATCATAACTTATCTGAACGCATGCACTTTTTTATGCGACGCCAACTTTATTTGTATGCCCGATTTGGTCAAATTTGACCATTGCTACGTACGGGTTTAATCCTGTGATATTATCTGCGCGGCCTGGCAGGGTAGCTATTTTTTCGATCTGTTGACTTTTCGTCAACTCGAACGAAAATAAAATTTGGTCTTTTCCTTCAAAAAAGAGATTACATAAACGCAAAAATAATTTTTGAATTCCATGCAACACGCTTTATAATGTAACGGAGCCATTTTTTCAAATATTTATATAAAATAGAATAAAAATCCATTGCAAAGAACTGAAAAACATACTTTTAATTTTTACCCTATATCATATAATAGAACACGTCTCACAGAATTCAAAAATTATATTTGTACATATATACTCTCTCTTTTGAAGGGAAAGTCTAAATTTTTTTATTTGAAAAAAGTTGATTAGTAAATTTCATTATATGGATGCCTATGATGTCACAATTTTGATTTACTTGAATGATCGAACACCCAATATAATACCATAGTGAAAATAATTGGGCTGGAGCTGAGTGGAAAATCGAATAGCCAAACTCTATGAAATTTTGCTGATGCTCGGCTCCCGTCCCTGTAATTGTGATAAATTTCGACAATCCCTGTAGAAATTTTAAATCAACAATTGGCTCATTATTTTTGCAAAAATCGAACTAATCAAAAGTCAGCATTACCACAAATAAAGGACACAGTCACATAACCTTTCGATAATTCGAATCTAACTTAACCATAATGCTCTAATTATAATTGTGATTTGTTTTTTTTTGTTTTAAAATTATTCCCATAAATTATGTGCATTATGCACAATATTTACATATTTTTGTGATACTTTGGATTACTGATGACTTTCATTTCTTGAAAAAACTTATTTAAAATCCCTCCTAAAAAATAAAATAAAATAAAATAAAACTAAAAGACTAAAAGAAAAAAATTTAAAAAGCATATGCATGATAACCCGTGGATTAATGATACTTTGGACTATTGATGATTTTCATTTCTTGAAAAACTTATTTAATGAATCCCTTCTAAAAAAACAAAAAAAGTAAAATAAAACAAAGAGTCTTATAAGTAGAAGAAAAAGTGCTTCGGGTTAACGATAATTTGGATTATTGATGTTTTTTTTTCTTGAAAAAACTTATTTAGTAAATCCCTCCTAAAAAAAAAATAAAATAAAATAAAACAAAAAGACTAAAAGACAAAAATTTAAAAAGCATATGCGTAGAAGGTGCTATCCTGTTATCCGATGATCGACGGATATACGTATTCGGGTATAAATTTTTCATGAAAGACATTTATGTAGAGTTCCAATATTAAGTGTTTATCCGGATAATTATCAGATATCATCCGAAATATCCGATCTGGATTTATCCGAATATCCGTTTACTATTGATAATCCGATCCGTTTATCCGATCTGGATTATTTGGATAATTCAGATACGGATAAATAGATGACGGATTTATCCGGATTGGAACTCTACATTTATGTATTTGGTTAATTTATATAAAAATTATCAAAAGTATAGAACCAGCACTTACAGAGGTTTCAAAAGGCTTTTGCAAATTTCCAAAATGTCAGGACAGTTTTATTCAATCCCACATTCAATCTACTATTGTTGCATGCCAAGAAGATCTTAAAAACAACCAGACATTAGCACAAGCCATTTTTGCTGCTTTCGTTTTTAATTCTCCTTTGCATGATTCAGTATGCTTTGAAAATAAACAACGCATGTTTTGCTGGGATGAATTTATTAGAAATAATATTAGTATACCTAATTTTACCTCCATAGAAAAATTAAATAATAATAATTCTGTTGACAAAATCTGCACTCTATGTAACAGGGCCATTGTTAATACTTTTTTTAATTTTATTCCCACAAGTTTTTATGCTCAATTAATAATTCCTTTAAATAAAGTAGAAGACAATAAGAAATTGCTTGCTTTCGTATGTGGTGATGACTTTGTCAGTAAGTATTATTATCAAAATTATGAATGTATATGTTTTTGTAAACTAATTACTATTTCTTTTAATAACAAATGGTACAATTATTGATCCAAAAACTGGAAAACAAATTCCTTCAACTACTAGCACCTATCTTCCTACATCTACCTCCAATTCTCTACCTAAAAATACCTAGTAACCTGAGTTGCAAAACGATTAATTTTGTTATATTACTGTAGTCATATGCTAATATTAAAGTTAATTTGATTTGTTAAAAAATTATTAATTTACTATAGATAATTATTCAACGTTTGATTGAGTCGATAATTTTTTAAAGAAATCAGCTTTTAACTTAATTAATTAATTGATTAATCAATTTTGGTCTAAAGCACTACAAATACCCTCTTCCTATATCCACAAAATTCCTACTCCATAGCTGCTTCATAACAAACAATATAAGCATTTAACTATTATTTCTAGACCATTCTTCTATTGGCTAAGCATTAACTTTTAATTAATTTAATATAAATACCCATGAAGTGTAATACTTGCAAATAAAAAATTTGTGCCAGGTTTTGTTGACCATTCGGCATATATTGATCGATTTAGGCTTGCATTGAACTAATTTTGAGATCAGTGAGAATCTTTTTTATTAGTGCATGTAAAAACTAAACTTCAAAAGAGGTTTTTATTTTTTTTCTTAATTTTTTGATCATGATCGATAAATCTTGTGTTACCTTTGAACTACTTCAAAGCTCAGGTAGCTAAAAATGATAATAAATAAATGCTTCATGTTTATCTTATAAGAAAGTGAATATATGCTACTGTAACGAATTAAAATTTTAGTTTATTTTTGTTCAAAACTTATTTTTAGTCAGTAACTTTCCGCTTGTATATATATTTTAGTTGTGTTACCCATCCATTTCGAGGGTCCCTTAAAGCGGGGACAGATTTCATATAATAACTTACTAACCTTAACTGTATCAAAAAGGTGACTCTTAAAACATCAAAAACGTAACTTTTTTTAATCCGGCTTAAAGGACCCCATTTCGAGTAATACGTACGTACCAGATCAATACAAGTAGATCTTTACAAAATAATTTTCACATTACAAGATCATGCTGTCCAATAATCCAACACAGATAGTTACTTCGTATTACGTTCCAGGTATTTATCAAATCACCTGAATATCGTACAGTACGTACTTGTAACGACACAACTTCTCGCTTAAATTCTACTAGTGTTCGACCCGTGGAGAGTTTTTTAAATACATATTTTATTCGAGTTGACATAAAGTCAACAGATCGAAAAGATGCAAAGCATGGTGATGCGCATCGTGGAACCGTCGACCAGAACAAGTCCGGTCCA